TGCTGACCCAAAATTAGATATACTGAATTAGGGTGAAAGCCTTGCAGAACAAAACAAAACAAACCCCAAACCAAAAGACCTAAAACAATGAACACTCCTCAGTCATAATTTTCAAGATACAAGGTCTGAGTCCCTCTACCCTACAGGGCTCTCTCTTCGTATAGTATGTTTGGACAGTCTGCTTGAGCCAGAATAAATGTGTGCATGTTATTTTTGCCCAGTTTTCTCCCACTTCTATGCCTGTGTCTGTGGAAGCCTTACAGAAACCTGTGTCAGAGCACTAGCTGTTTATGTCAAATTGCCTATCAGGGGTTTCTGCCTTTATGCTTTTACCAGAAGCAGAGATGCAGATGTGATAATGCTCAGGTTGTCACCTACACAGTGGTCTAATTATGCCGTGCTTACAGAGCATCAGATGTGTCAGGTGTCCTTCTGGCAGTGGTGACAGCAGGAGGCAGAACAACCAGAGCCAGCTGGTACATTTGATGCTGAAGATTGTAGCATGACAGGACTTAGTAAATGAAAACTCAGCCAACAATCATCAGGAGAGATTATTTGACGCAGGGGAAAGACTATCCTCTATATCAGCCTGCTCTTTACCTGGATGTGTTGACACTCTTCCATTTTTCTTGGGAGAGAGCAAGTAGGAAGAAGGGTAACCATTAAAAACGTTTGCTGAACTGAACATACATTTGGCCGAGATACTGCCAAATTGAGCAGATTTTTGATGTCACTCTTGGGTAAATAAATAACCTGAGCAAACTTGAAAACATCTCAGCCAAGATCCCAGCTTCGAACTGCACGGTCAGTAGTTAACTTCAAATGAAGTAGAAAATATGCCCTTCTAGTCAGATATAGACTATTGAAATTCTATGCAGTATGTAAAACAGTTTTAAAATCAGAAGAAAACCTATACAATAGGTATTGCTTTCTCAGTGTATTTTTAAAATATTTTTATATGTCTAAACCAATACAAAATAAAACATCAGTCATCCAGTAGTCTCTGGGAGGAGAGGATCATGTGAGTAATGGTTAAACTCTATAGAGCCAGTTCAAGAGATGGACTTTGAATTTTTGGCAACAGAGTTGTGTAGCCATAGATTGAAACCAAACCTTTTCTACCAACATTAGTGAATAGTGCTAAAAGCTCGTGCAAAATAGGACAACTCAGACCTTTGACATTTTTCTCACAACTGTTTCTTTTTAAATCGCTGCCTTTGCCTGCAAAAGTTTGTTGGATTCATCCATTGTGCATGTCCTAGAAATTTGATAGAGGTCTCATATGTTCCTTGTAAGAGGATAAAGCCAGCTGCAGTACCCAATTGTTAAGATGTGGTTACTGACTTGAAATGTCATTAAGTGGATTATTCGGTATTCCTCTGACTTGAATCTTTTGGGTAGGAGTTTAAAAATGCTAGTCCTCTCTGATTTTAGTGAACATTAAAGACCGCACACAATTATTCATTTAAAAAAAGGCTCAAAGGGTTGTTACCATGTCCTCTAGTAAAGATTTCATCTTTCTAGTGTTAATGTAGTGTGTTATAGAAAGACATTGTATAGAAGTAGCTGTAGATCTTGGTGTCTGCCTTTTTGAGAAGTATTTTAGGAATATGATTTATTTCAACTAACTTGTCCATGTGCTTACCAGACTGTGCTGTGCCTGAAAGTGTTCTATGGGGTTTTTCCCTGTTATTCCTAAAAGAAGGGTCACCAGTATCTGTGGCTTGGTTTTAATCACGTTTGAAGAATTGCACTTTACTGTGACACTTTCACCTAGTACTGTATTATGTTCAGTGGTTCATTAAGAACTCAGGAGAAGGTGATGTCAACAATAGTCTGTCTTCCAGCGTCTGGATTTCCTAGTTATCCCATCAATTTTGGTGTGAATAAGCCATCTCAAAATAGGCTGACATCTGAAATATGTATGATCAAGCTACATGGTTGTATTAAATATTGTCATTAGTATTATTACTACCTAGTTCTGTGTGATTTCATTGACAAGCTACACAGATCTTTGTAAAGGTATGCTCTCTTGTGAATACAGATGCTAGTGATGAACGTTTGTTATTGATTTTTTGTTCACACAGAAAGCATACAAAATAGAGTCAGATTAAAAAGTGAAGACCTTGCCCTAGTTTATATTGTCTTCCTTTATGACAGATTTAATTGGAAATCTAACAGGAAATTAGACTGTAAGATTACCAACTGCATGGGTGGTATGCCATGAAAGATCAAGTGCCTGCATCTTTCATATTGCACCCCAAAGCAGCTTTATCGATTATCTGGGATTTCTCGTGGGTTTAAGGATATTAAATATGACATCAGCAGCTTCAGCAGCAAAAATATTCAAAGGTACATGGGGTAGAAAAGCTACACAAGTTTTCTTATAGTGTTTGAAAGTTGAGGATGAAGAGCCTTTTACATTGTCATCTAAAAGTGAAAAAGGAAAAGACTACAGAAGCTAAACCATCTGTACGCAGGCCTATTGACTGTTCATTTCCTAAGGATCTTTCCATAGAAGCACTTAGGAGGATTGCTTTTTCAGCACTAGCCTCTAGAGTATTTCGTCATGTCAGCCAGGCATTCCACAGGAGTATAAATTAATGGCAACATTCCTCTTAGAGTAGTCCCTTTTGTGTTTTGCCAGTTTACCTTACCTGGTACATAGGGTGTCTCCAGGGAAGATTACTCAGGAAGTTACCTACTCGGCTGTCATTCGTTCATACAAAAAAGACCAGTAAAACCAGAGAGGAGGGAAAAAGGAATCCTCAAGTCTTTCTGTCTGTCCTGCTTATGTGGAAAAACTTAGTTACCCCGGGGCCAAATTCATATGGAACTGTTTTCACTGGCATGAGGTCTGTGCTAGGCAAAGATTTGTCTCTCTGCACAGGCATCATAGTGCCGTGCCTCTTGACAGAATGTTATTTCTTAAAGCCAGTTTATCCCATGGCCTTGTCAGAAGTGGATTACCATCCTCCACAGACTCTGGTATTCTGTAGTTGTACAAAGCAGGAAGGAAGCACTTGTGCTTTTGAAACTGTGCTGGAAATAATTCAGCTGTTTACATGTGACAAGAAGCTTTTAAATTAGACTGCCTGAAATTGGTTAGCTGTTTTTCTTTAAGTTGAAGCTGCCAGAAAGATTTCACTTTTGACAGAAGAAAAGAGAAGGGAAGAGCCATGATGAAGGAACCTTTTATTTGTCATAATCTAAGGCTATTTGCCTGTTACTGGCAACAACAACTGGGAGATTCAGCATCTCTAGGAAGTTTAAATTAAAAAATTGTAACTCTGTATACACCTTAATACCAATTATGACATCATCCAGCTAAACTTGACTATTCACTTCAGAGGCCACAGTCTTCCACAAATTGTTTGAATGCAGTTTTGTGAACCCACTAGTGGTTTTGGCATCTGCAGATTAAATATAATTTGAATTGATACCAGTTCAGTAGATGGAATTATCTATATCCCAGGAGAGGTTACATAGAGGAGCTGCAGTTATTCCATATCTAACACGTGGTGTTTTCAGGAAGGAAAAAACTGAAGCAAGACAGATGAAAACATTTGGAGCCTCAGGCATTCGGGTCAGAGCATATTACAGGAGGGAGATTTGGCAGGCATCAAGGATGGAGAAGGTGGTATTTTCTATGGCTTTTTTGCTATTTTGACAGTGCAGCTTTAGTTTCAAATATTAATCATGTCTCACAGGAAGAGTGGAAAAGAGCAGTAGGAAAAATGCTCATTTCTGCTTCACGGATGCAGTTTCTTTTTAAGTCAGTAGGAGTTGCTTGCTTGTATGGTCTTTGGAAGGGAAAAAAAGTCAAAAGACTGCAATAAAAAGGATATGCTTACATTTGAAATGGAAGGACTTTACCACAGTTATGTGATGATACTCTGCCTGGTTTGTTCATTCAGATGGCTGTGTAAGTGGATAGACTGAGGTGGGTTGGCAAGGTGTTCCTGATTGGTCTCATTGTCATGGCCCTGTCAGCATGCATCAGCTGTAACCCACAGGAGCTAAATACTTGTTAAAACAAGTCATATTTCATCCTTCATGCTTTTTGAATCTAATCTTGTTTTAACAGTTTGCTGGGTGTACCAGATGATTGATGCTGTCACACTGCAGATAAAATCTATCATTCTGTCATTTTTATTCAATATTTGAGAAGCATTTTTGTTCAAGATGGAATCTGAAGGAATGTTACACATTTTTAATATGGTTCACCTTAGTTATAAAAATAATCCATCTAATTCTCTCTGATTCATTGGCAGACATTTCCTAAATACAGACCTAGAATGAATTAGTATGTTAGTTGTACCTGAATGTGTCTTAAAAGATATGTGCTGTATTTCTTTCTAAATATGCTACAAGGAGATGTAAATGAATATAGTATCAGAACCTTGTAAAATAGATGAAAGGATATCAGTTATGTTTAATCATGGGCATATTTGGCCTCATTTCATAATAAAAATCATAGACTAATATTAGCTATTAAGAACAATTACATGTGCTGTTGTGAAAAGCTTGTTACACTGAAAAAAACTTTTGAGCTCCTGAACTTTGAGCAGTTAATAATGTCAGAGTTTTTACCTTTAAAGGTGACCTGCAAGGACTGTGCTTTGTTCAAATCAGGGCTGAGGCCTCAAAGCGGTATTTCAGTGATCTTGTATCATCCGTGATTATTAGTAGGTCATAAAATTATTCTAAAAAGGGAAGAGACTGACTTCTGGTGTAGCAAGAGTTCCGTTATACACTTTAGAGACAGATACTTACCTTATCTTCAACTCTACTTGACTTGAATTTAGTCTATATTAAATTATTTTGCCTGCGTAACAGGTCACAAGCTACTCCTGCTGAATCCAGAGAAATAAAGTCCAGCTTGGGGTGAAAACAATGACAGCTGTACTTGCTTGTTACTTCAGAAACCAGATGCAGAAAATTGTGTTTGGTATACTTCCACATGTGCTACATTATTTGCTCTTTCTGTGTTTCCACAGGCCTTGAATAGGGGCATCGCTGCTGTCAAGGAAGATGCTGTGGAAATGTTGGCCAGCTATGGGCTGGCATACTCCCTGATGAAGTTCTTCACGGGTCCAATGAGTGACTTCAAAAATGTAGGTCTGGTGTTTGTGAACAGCAAGCGAGACAGGACCAAAGCAGTTTTGTGCATGGTTGTGGCTGGCGCTGTAGCTGCTATATTTCATACCTTAATAGGTAAGGTCACTTCACATGTAGTTGTGTCATTTCATTTGCTTCCCTTGCCTGTTCTTCAAACTGATTAATGTGTACGCTTAATATTTCATTTGTAAGTGCAACAGGAGATGTAAAAGAGATGAAATCTCTTGGGCTGGTATCATGCCCGTCCACACGATTTTTATTACCTTTTAAACAAATTGTTAAGGATCAGATTCCACCCACAGGGCTCTCCTGCCTGGCAGCTGAACATGCTGCTGATCTCTTTCAGTCAGGTGTGTGAGCAAATCTTTGGCTAGGTTGACAGGTTGCCTGAAGCTGATAGCTCAGTATTACTCTTAGGTAATGATGATCAACTAGCAGTATCTGCTGGAATGGGTTTGGCAGGGTTTTAAGGTGTGCTTGGTAGGGCTGTCTGTCAGTTCTTGGTAGCATTGTCAGTGTACTCCCTCTGTACCAATCCCTTTGCTACTTACAGTACAAAACTCGAAGCAAGTAAGTGCCAGCATGCTCATTAAAATATCGGGTATTACTCTCTACTACTGCTAGTCATCGTCCACTTCTGTTGAAAAATTAATCTGTAAGGGAGGAAGTAGTTACTAAGAGCACTTTATACGAAACTGAGGCCAGCTCCCTGAGTGTACTCTGACTCTGAAACAAAGAAAATACACAAGCAAACATGAACTGAACGTAAAAAGTAAGGCAGTCACAGGATTTGCCAGTTTCTGAGAGCCTGGAGAAATGGGATATCAGCTCAAGCATCAGCCACAGCAATAAAAAGTCACGTGACTTGGAAGACTTTTAACTTCATCCTCTCCAAAAACTGCACCGGATTCTCTGCACCTTCTGGCTCAGTCTACAGAGCCGAAATCTCTGGACCTCAGCAAGGAGGAGCAGGAGATGCTGGAGGAAGAAGCAGAAAGGGCATTGCATTGAGCAGGTAAAATCCCAAAAGCTGAGAGTTCTAAGGGGTGGGAGGGAGGAAGTAATGTGACAGCCTATGGAGCCTCGTGTCGGTTGACAGGCAGTAGTGTTGAATTGGATGACCAGGAGTAGGAGGCCATTCCATCACAGAAAAATGGGAAATGCAAGTGTAATGGCAATGTCCTGAATTGCTATGAAATCACAGAGTGGCCTGGAAGTGAGGCACCATTCATTATCAGTCTGTTAGTATCTCAAGAGCAACATGTGTTGCTGTTCAGCCTATAGTGTTAAAGAGACTAGACTAGACTAGAGTAGACTAGAATAGAATAGGACTATTTCAGTTCCTGCCTGAGTAGGTAAATCTGGTAAATTCAAATGCCCCCTGCTCTTATCCTTTAACAGGCTGTCAGCTATAGTCACCAGCTTTATGTGCCTCCCAAGCACTACAGTTTGTTGACTATCACATCACTTATTCCACCACTGATATGAGAGCCCTGTGCTATTTACCTTTGCTCCATGTTATGGTCACAATAAATGCTTACAATAATGGCTCACTAGGCATGGCAACTCTGTACCAGGGATAAGCTCATGCTAATTTTATAAGCTGAATACCTGCATTCAAGTTAATTTAATTCACTGATAGCGATTGGTCACTTCCTCAATATGCTGATATTTGAGACTGCTTTATTGAGTCAGTATTATAAACTTTGGGCCATTTGTACATTTGGCTCTCATGTTTCTTTGCTTGGAATGTTTCTTCAGCCCCCAGAGCTACTCTTCTAGTTGCTCACTTGCTTTCCTGCCAGTGCTGGTCAAAATTTTTGGCTTTGCGAGCTGGATAAAAAATTATTTTCTAGTCATTCAGTATTTTATTTTAAGCTAGGATAGATTTTAACAAAATTTAAAGTATAACTGTCAAATTTCCAGGTGAAAGACATAACTGGATTTTCCATGTGGGACTTCTTATTGAAAGGAGATGTTTGGAACAACGGTTGGAAAATCTGCCAGATAAGTTTCTTGCCTTTGCCTGGAAGTTTAGAACTTCTGAAATGCCCTCTGCAGATACTAGGGGAAAAAAAGGAGGCTGTGCTTGCCATGCTTTAAAGTCCTGAATTAAAGGGCTGCACACAATCTTTCAGCTGCTTATGGTGACAGACTGCAAAATATTTTTTAGTATTTTAACTTGCCTATGCCTGAAAGTATGCAAAGGCCACAGCAGAGACTGGCAGAGCGCCCGAGAGAATGGAGTTAGTCAGATTCTAGCACCAATTGCCTGGGCGATGTTGCCAAGTTTTATGTTCCAAGTTTCCTTTGAACCTGTTTCAAATCCTGATTATTCTGCTCTGACCCACAGATGCACAGCCTGCCTAGCAGGAGGAAGAGAAGGAGTTCAGTGACAGGCAGCCTCCTAGGACCTGCAACTACTCCCCAGCAGCTACAAGCCTATCACAGGCTAATCTACAGGAGACACAAATACAGGGTACTGATGCTCGGTGGATGAAAAAGAGAAACAAACAACACTCAGGGGACTGAATTTCTTCTACATGCCATGAATATAGGGCTAAGAAAGATGACATGACTATCTGCTGTGGACTCTCAAAGCCCAGGAAGAAACAGGAAACAAAAAGCCTGATGAAATACAGAGTACCAAAAGTCAGAAGGAAGAAAACAAGTGGTGGTAGAAACACATTGACCACAATGAATCACCACATTTCCAACTGCGATAGAGACTATTTGCAGTCTACACACACAGCTCTTCACAAACAGCAACCTCTACTCATTTAAAATATCAAAACAGACTGTCTCACCCACCTGACTCATGCTTCATTGCTTCAGCACCAGCTCCCCACTACTGCTTCCCCTCTGGGCCTCACACAATCCTCTATGGGAGTGCCTGGCTGAGCTAAACCACTCGAACTCACAGTTGCAAGCTCTGGGTCCCCACCACATTCCTATGAGCATCTGCAAAGTCCTCACCAACAGTTCCTATCACTTCCCTGTACAGGTATCAGTAAGAACCGAGAACCAAGTTGACTGAAGGGATTTGAAACTATATTCTCATCCCACTTATAATGCTGCTGCAAACCTTGGTCAGTACAGTATTCCTGGATTTGCTGTTTCAGGTGTCATCTGGAAATAGAAGATAGTATGCTGCCTTCCTTCCACTGAGCTATTTTGGGGGTAGATACTGCTGCCATTTAGGGTTTCCTGGTGGGAAGTTCACTCTGTAGCCAGAGTCTAAAGTGTCTCATTATTTCAGAGATTGGCATTTTGGTGGCTGTAAGAGAAGGGATTCAAGATGCTAAGCCTGTCTTTGCATATTTTTGATATCTTACTAAATTGCCAGCTTGACAGAGGAGAAAAGTAATTTATATAGCATTATGCTAACATAATGCATTTCTTAGTGTTGCTGGCAAGCCCTTCAAACTAAGTGAGTCCTTTTAACACCAGTGTCATGAAGGACATGCACATTTTCTTTGGCAATAAAACAGCATTGTTCAACTTTTCACTAGTTTACTGAAAAATAGTATAGGGAGAAATTTTATTTCCTCTTGAATAACTCTCTGAGGTTCTGGAAATGACAAGGCAGAAGTTATTTAGAGCAAACATCCTCTTTGCTTAAGCAGACATCTTTAATTGGTGCCCACTACACCTGATTGAAAACTACATGAGAGATCATGATCATCACCAGGAGAAAATGGTTGGAACTTCAGTAACCAGTAAACTTTAGTATAAATTAACTTTAGTAATCTATAGCAGATTGGATGGATGAGACATATGAGTGATTTGTTTTGTGCCCATTTATTACTAATAGGCTAGTGGGCATAGGCCACTCCAGCATAGATTGCACAGGGGAAAATTTAGCAGTTTCTGATAATCCCACTGATCCTTTTGAACTTCCCACATGCATAGTCACTGTATGTACATGAAAGATCTGCATAAGAAGTGAGACATAGGTGTAATCCCACCAATTCCTGTGTAACACTACTGGAATTTTCTAGAGACTAGGAGTTACAGAGTGGGTTATGACAAGCTGAGGGTTTTTTTCCAATCAGTCTTGTTTAAATGTGCCCACTGTACTGGCTCATGCTGAACATTTTGCCCTGGAAAAAAATGACAGGAACACAAATCAGAATATAATCCAGATTTGCCTTCCTCCCTCCCCCAAATAAAATTAAAATGTTATTCATTAAAAATTTGTCCTGCTTCAGCATCTTCACATGGCCATTGTTAAAGCAGTAACATGCTTCCCTGGTTGCCCCAACCCTTCTTCCACAACAGGGGCAGTTTCTTCTCAGGAAGATACTCGGGGCAAAGGAAGAAAGCCCAACACCAAAGCACTTTTGGATACGACTGTGTTTTATTTAAAACAGCCAAATTTTGACACTCATGAGATGCTGGTTTATCTGAAGATATTTCAGATACCAACTGTCATTGATAGATTTGGGAAAATCAACTAATGCAATTTTGGAACTAGAGCTGAGCATGGAAAAAGGTGATTGCAGTAATCAGTCTGCATTGAGATGCTCCTAAACTGTTTTGATTTTTTTCTAATTCATGTAAAAATAAGCAGAAAAAAACTCCAACCAAACACAAAGCCTTAGACGCTCTGATCATCTGGGCTTTCACAAGGGGGACACAGGCTTTTTCTTCTGTTTTAGATCAGGGTAATCAAAGACATAAAGGAATCTATATACCCTATACCATCTCCAAATGAAGATTTGCTATTTAGTTTTATTTTTTCATGTTGATATTTTCCTATCTGCCCAAATCACTTAGCTGAACACATTAGCTCAGGTTAGAGCATGGTGCTAATACCACCAAGGTCATGGGCTTGATCCCCATATGGGCTATTCTCTTAAGAGCTGAATTTAGTGGTGCCTGTGGGTCCCTTACAACTCAGAATATTCTGTGATTGTGATTGAGAAACTCCTGATCAGCACCAGTTTTGGCCATGTGAGCCATCTTTCTGACAAGTAGCAGAATAGATTTTTTACTTCTAAAGTCTCCAACTTAATTTTTAAAACTGGCAGCAAAGTATGAAAATGGAATGTGTCTAGAACATGCTTTAACCCAAAAACATTTTTTTGATTCTTTTTTTCCTGTGGTAAAGCTAGTACTGACATGTAGCTCCATGCCTGGAAGAAAATGGTATCACTTCCTATGAGAGTTTCTTTTTTTTTCCTTATGATTGAAGTATAACATGTTCAGTAGTAGTCGGCTCCAAAATAACTATTTGTCTGAGACTGCTGGCATCATTAAGAGTGTGTTCAGTTGTTTTAAGAATATCTGAAATTTATGTGGCAATGATTGGCTTCTTAGAGAAATTGGTGTAGGAAAGAGGAGATCCAATTAGGTATACAGTTTTCAATGTCATTTCTTAAGCTTCTGGGTCTTAAAACTCAACTGGAAAAGCCAAAAGCAAGAATTCCTGCTTAACTTCTGTAGCAAAATTGATCCACATAGCAAAATAAATTAGGTATTAGGGGAGAGCAAACAGGCAGCTTGTCTTGGAGTTGGACCTCTCTGTTTTGGTTGAAATTATGTAAGAAATGGGAAGTGCCATCTGCTTCAGATTCATGTAATACTCCTTGGCTCTGTGGTCTATGTTATTAATTTTGCACTGTTCTACATAATAAGTTTGTAAGGTTGGCCAAGGTTAAGTTCTAATTGCATCAGCAATTGCCTGATTCACAGCTCAGTGACACATGCCTGTATATTTGTTAGTAAAACTCAGCTTGCTGAGTCCTTTCTGAGGAGGGAAACATTCATGGACACCACCAAAAGTAACTGTTTGCTTTCACTGACATATGAAATAGTTGACCATTTTGAAAATAACATTTTAAGCTTAACCATTACGGTTTTGAAACCAAATTCACATTAAAAAGTGCAGTTAGACTTTTTTTTGATGGAGGGAGAAAAAAAATACTAAAGCTAAGCTTACAGAGCTCAGTGCTGATATCCCTAGAAATTTTAAAAATGTGGTGCTGTGGGCTGTGATGGTATAAGTCCCATTGAGAGTGCCTTGTCAATAAACTACAACCCTATGGTGAATTGTTTGTTCCTAAAAGTGAGAGTAGTTTTCCGAGGTAGTAAACTTAAAAAAAAAATAAATTTAAACATCGCAATGGCTTTTAGAGCAAAAAAAGTTACTTATTGCTCACTTTCTAAACATTTTTAAAGTCTCATGTAAAACAGGCAGAGTTCATGGAGAGGATGGAGGATGACTTCTGCAGCATGCTGAGCTTCTAGAATGGCAGTGCTGGAGGAGGCTTCTCCACAGAAGCAGCGTCCTCAGCACCTGGACTCTGATTCTGTCAGTCCCTATGTGGAGGAGAAGATGGTGTGTTTCCTACAGCAGTTTTTAAGGTTTTATGCCAAAGTGTAAAGCAACCTTAATGGAACCTAAGAGACAGCTCAATGAATCTGACCCTCACATATGGCTTGTCTCACACACCTTCCAGATTCCTCTCCTTCACTGAAATAAGTCGATTCAGAAATGGCCATGTACTGCCCTGACATAAAAGCAGCTTTCAACAAGGACTTACCACACAAAAATCCATGCATAGCAGAGAGTTTTCCAAACACTGAGCAAAGATTGGTGCATGGGTACTCATGCGGAAATAAAAAGAGACTGTGCTTGATGTTTGACTGAAGTGCAACAAGCACTTGAACACTTTAAGGAGCTAAACTGGCCTCCCTGAACTGAGGAAAGGTTGGAGTTTTGGTTTAAAGTTCTTCCTCAACCTCCTTCAAAAGGAAACAAGGCTGGGAGTGCCCCAGGAAGATGGCTAAGCAACTTGGGATTTACTGTGTGAACTCGGAGACTGTGGGTGTAACAGTCATAGCTCAGGCAGAAGACATATAGGCCTGGTTGTCTGGAATGAGGCTTGTGCCAGTTCCCAATGCTATCATACCACCTCCTTCTATTCTACTATGTTATTTACACTGTCTTATTTGGACTTAAATAGTCCTTTCAGTTCTGTTAATCATTTAACTGCTGTATCCCTAAGCCATTGCAAAACAATGATGACTGAAACTCCTCAATTGCTTCCAAATACTGTTTATGAGTTATGAGAGACGGGCTAAGAAGATTGAATTGGATGACTAGTGCTAGCATTTGTCAATCCAATTATGAGACCTGATGCATGAAAAGGGTAACTTTCCTGAAATACGCTATATGAAGATCTGTACGAAGATAATAGAATTGTTATAGATGAAAAACCAGATAGTGTTCACATTAGAAATAGTTATCTTAGAAAAGACACAACTGGGAGAGAACTGAGGTAAGGTTCCTCAGGCACAAGTAATTCTGCCCTTACTTGTCTTGGGAGGTTGACTTTACAGCCAAATCATTCTTTTAACAGCTGTTATGAGTGTATAGGGAAATTAAGTAATGATACGCAGGTCTAGAACATAGTCTATAAAAGGTTAAAAACTATTTGGATTATTTAACTGTGCCTATTAGATATGTCTGTATAGTTGAGAGACTCCAGTCACAGCTAGCTCTTCATTATTCCTTGCTATGGGGAGGACTTGGAAGTTATTAAAACAGCTGGATAATATGGATGCTAATGGAACCGTAAACAGTTCTTTAGAGAGGTGTGTGGCAAGTCCCTGCATCTGTGCTGTCTTCAACCCAACACTTCTTGGAAAGAAAGACCTTGAAAGAGGTGTGTTGCCCAACACTAAAAGTTTTTGTCTTGGGTTGAAATAGGACAGCAAAATAATACACTGGCAATCAGAAGTGGGAACTCCCTGATTTCCAGAGATGCTCTTTTCTGGCTCGTGGCTCCTGAGGTGTTGGCTGTAGATAAGGAAAGAAACTAAGGCTGGTCAAGGCTGCCCAGGGACTGGACAGCAAAGCACACAGTGCCCTGACAGGTCCCATCAGAGGTGGTCATTAGACAGAGTAAAGGAGAGGCATAATGAGTGTGATTTGTTGCATGCCTTCACAAATCATAGTATCCTTTTACAGCTTTGAGCAGGTTTACAGGTAATGTCAAGAGAATGCAGTGATAATAGATGGTTTCAGCATTTATAAGGCACTATATCCCATGAAATACACAATGCCTGGTGAAAACAGCTTTTCTAACAAAGAGCCTTGATTTAATGAAGGAGCAGTAGATTTTCTGGAGTACCAGTGTGTTCGTTTAGCAAACAGATGTGGCACTTACTATACCCATCTTCCAAACCAGCCATTTGTTATCACTCCTCTGCCAAAGGCTACTTTAAAAAGAACCATGAGGGCACTTCTTAGTCATAAACAGCAGCTGGTGAGGCTGTAATACCCTGAAGCCCTTGCAGCTGTTTGCTAAGTGGATGGATGTCTGAGCTCCAAGGCATCACAGTCCTTCAGGTACTTCTGCATATCTCACCCAGAGCTCATATTTTCATGTAATCTTTATTTTTCATTCGTATTCTTGTGTCTCTACAGCATATAGCGATTTGGGGTATTACATTATTAATAAGCTGCACCATGTGGATGAATCAGTGGGAAGTAAAACTCGGAGGGCCTTCCTTTATCTTGCTGCCTTCCCTTTTATGGATGCCATGGTGAGTGCCTGATTCAGAACTGAATTTTAATATTAATGTAACATTTTTTAAGGCCTTAGTTCACGAAGTCTGTTACCTGATGGGAAACTGAAGGTATGCAGAAGCAAGGTATGTCCTTTGCAAGCCATAACTCTGGATATACCTGAACTCATCTCCTGCAAACTCATCATCTCCTGCTATGCGGAAGAATCATTTGGGTGGACTTTAAACATCCAGAGGTCATGACAGATGTCAAAAACCTCAGCTGCCTTGTCAGAGCTACTGTATATGCATGTTGGAAAGCATTGGTTATCTTGTGATGAGCTACACTGGTTTTCTGTATAAGACTTCTCGTTCCCATTTGTAGTGGAAGATTTAGAGTTGCCATGCATTCCCAGATCACTTGCAGAGCTTGTAATGAATAAGGTCAATATTTTCTCAAAACAAATTTGTTGAAAAGATATTTCTTACTGTCCGTTTTTGCAAGCACAGCTAAGTTCAGTATATCTCAAATGATTGGGCAAGAGAGGCACATGGGGTGCACTGCTGCTTCCCAGATCACCAGGCTTGCTGCTCATGGCCTGCCAACATAAAAACATGGCACCTCCCTTTAATGCTTCTACTGTGCAAAACTGGTAAAGGAGAACCTCATGGCAATGCGTCCACCACTTTCTCTACCACTTTATCTACTTGAAACAGTAGCTGACAATAAAAATAAGTTGCATCATTAAATTTTCTCTTCCAGACAGGACATAGTATAACTCAGTGGACCAATGAATATTACACTTAAGAGGTGCATCCAGACTGTGAATGAGAATACATTGGATTATTTATTATGCTAATCCATCCTATGCAGCATCTCATTTATGAAGGGGTGGTTTCTTATTAGATCACTCAGAAGTTTCTATACAGTCTATAAAATTTTTCCCATTCTCCCTGTCAGCCCTGGCAATGAGGAACTGAATGCAACAGTGCTTTCTCTGCATTAATGGCTTAACGTTTGCACAGGTTCAGACCAGGTACTTCTGGTGGAAAAGAGCTTTGCAGGTTGCTTGTGCACAATGTAACAACCAGAAAATAGTATTCTGGGACTTGAAATCATTCACAACATCATAATCAATTCCCAAACTTTTCTCTGGCTTTTTTCAGGCATGGACCCATGCTGGGATTCTGCTGAAACACAAGTACAGTTTCCTGGTGGGATGTGCCTCCATCTCAGATGTCATAGCTCAGGTAAAGGCTCCTTCTAGAAGTCACTGTTCCCATTGTATTATGAACCAGATGCTTTCCTAACCAGAAACTGTTGTACAGATAGTCTCTCTGTGACTTTTCTCTCCTCTGTGAGCAAGATACCAGAAGAAGTAATCTTTTGTACTATTCTGTGGCTGCTTCTCCATCACATAAAGGCTGTTTGCTGACAGTTGGGATTTAGGACAGTCTCATTTGACTCAATCAAGTCAGTCCCAAACCAACATCAGGAGTAGGGAACCAGGATTGTTTGGGCAAGGGTTATGTCCTCCAGCACTTCCACAACCCTGTTTCATAATGGTTGAGAAACAAGTTGTATATATATACACGTGTGTAGCTCTGGGAAAAAGAAAGATCAGGCAAAGAGACCGCTGGCTGCTGCCAGTCCTGAGGCTGATGAAGTGCTTTAAAAGAGACATTTCTCCCCCTATATGTTCTCCCTCACCCTTCATGCAGTTGAAATGAACTCCTGAGTTGGGAGGTGAAGGCTTGATTCTCCAGTTCACACATTGGTTTTGCAAATGCTCTCTAATCTAGTGAAATGCAATAGTGTAAACTGTCTTTTGGTTGCCAGTACAGCACTGTTCCTGTTACTGTTCCAAAAAGTGAAGGCTCAGAAAGGCAGCAGGAAGGGTCTGTGGTGATAACCTCTGAGGGATGCAGAGAAGACCAAATGTTTTTTGAGCTTTCATTTGTGAGGGAGGTGTTAACTATCCTGTTGCTTCATACTAGTCACACTGAAAAAACAACATTCACACACTCCTGATGGCCAGTATTGTAGCATTTGAGAACCAATATACAGCTCTCTTTCGAAAGCATATAGGAAAGTATTAAAAAATGGAGAGTCCCAGCACCTGTACAGTTGCTGTACTGCCCCATTACCAGCTGAATTGTGTAATGACTGGATTAGAAAGACTATGAAACAGTACAACATCAGAGGAAATATAAAGTCAACAGCACTTAGTTCAATTTTCCGTAACATTTTCCTCCCACTAAATATGAGAAAACCATAAATGAGATTGAACTATTGGGTCAATGTCTACTACAGTTTTGGCAGGTCTGCCGCACTACAGTACCGCACTAAATCCCTGAAGATAATACCAATTACTGTAAATTACCTTAACCCTCATGGTCTACTCTTGTTCTGATGTGATCTACAAAGTTTGTTGGCCCTAGGTGCATGTCAGGTCATACACAGCTAAATATGGAAACAAATTCTTATTTTGGCCATGCCCTTTCCACAGCGATTGGTGAGTGGGGTGCCCAGGGTTGTGAACAGTAAGACACCTGTCATCTTCTCTCAGCAAAATATTACACAGAACAAGAGCAAGTCCAGAAGACAAAAAATTGAGACTCTCCCTACCCCGGAACTCTCTACAGCTACATCAGTTCTCTACACAGGCAATAGGTGCGCAGGCAGTAGCCAGTTCTCCTTGGTTAGCTTCATATGCACACTCTTTGTGACTGACTTTGCTTCTGTTTTCTGAAAAACAATGGTTTTGTAGGTTTTAAAACAGCAGTTTTGCAAACCTTCATAAGCCCTGTGGCCTGCCTCAGAAATATTTGCAGAGTGTGTTTTTATTTAACTACTTCTTGAGCTCTAGCCATGAAGGAGAAAACTTGCACCTGAACAATGTGTGTTGTATTTCTTGTGATTCAGTTGAATGCCAGCATGTCCTAGCAGGTATTCTGCTCTTCACAGCACCAAACACAGTTGGCTTTCCAGTTGTGCTCCCCATCCAGAGTCATTTGGAATTTAGCAGGCATGTAAGCACTCTGTACTTAACAAAGAGAATAATATCATATTAATCAATTCCTTTGGATTTTATGGATTGAGCACTCAGTCTTAAGATGCTGTCTTGTGAGCTGTTCATTAGCCCAAAAGTTTCCGTTGCATTTACATCAATGTGGCACTCAGCTGAAGAGCAAATAATGAAATACTGAAATTTAATTCAAAAAAGTAGAAAATTACGTTGACATAAGACTTCCTGCTCCTAAATGTTGAAGTGAATATGTTAAAACATCTGACTTTTTAATTGCCACTAGCCTCCCTGCAGCAAAAAAAAAAAATGAAATAGTAGGGCTTAAAAATTGGCTGTAGAAGCATGTCTTCAGCCTCAGCATCTATCAGAATAGCACATTCTCCTGGAAGGGGTGACACTCAGCCACATGCTTGCTGCCAGACCTTGCCAGACTTTCATGCTACCATTCTCCTATTTATGGCTCGTAGTGTGACACCTGCCCAACCTTCAAGTACTGTTCAACAGAGTAAGAAGTTAACTCTTGTTCTTCTCATGTGTATGACCAAATGCTGGGGGATCCTCATTAAAGTTTTTAATACCATAAACTCAAAGTCAGATAGATACTGTAGTCATGCATGGTTGTTGGTTCAGGTGGACTAGCTAGGAATCAAGACAGGAGATATGTTGGCCCTAAAGAAACATACAGACAAATTATTAATAATTTATTTATTTGCTCTGCAGGTTGTTTTTGTAGCCATTTTGCTTCACAGTCACTTGGAGTGCAGGGAGCCTCTCTTGATCCCAATCTTGTCATTATACATGGGAGCACTTGTGCGATGTACCACGTTATGCCTCGGATACTACAGGAACATACATGATGCTATTCCTGACAGGAGTGGGCCTGAAATGGGGGTATGTCTTAATACTTTCAATACTTTGTGCTTTTTCAAACTCAATAATTTTGACCTTGGGGGGGGTTGTGTTATAATACTCTATTAAACTTCTGTGCGTGAAGGGCCTTCTCTCTGTCCTGCAGGAAAAGGCATTCTCACTTTAAGAGGCATGGTAGAAACTATTCTGGCAACAGTGCACATTAGACAGTGCCTTCCACGGTATGGATGTACTGTTTACTGACTACCTCTGTACTGAGCTGTAAGACACCACACCATGAACTAAGTGATCACCTTAGTTCACATGGAAGAAGATCTCAAAATTTCTCTTTTTCCTCAAATGTCATATTGGTTTTCATGTAGCTTTGTCTGGTAGTCAGAACAAATTATGCAGATAGATACCTTATGCATTATTTATTGGGATCCATGACACATCTTCTTTGGAATCAGTATTAATAACATGAGTGATAATATTTTAGGCTCTTCATGTTGAAAATTACTGAAATGAATGTACCAAACTGACAATGGGTGGGAAAAGCAAAAAACCTTTCTCTGTGCTTTTGGTCCTGTGCTGTGTATTTTTTTCCAAACACACTATCTTTTTTTTTTACTCTGTCTTGCAGGGAGAAGCTACGATAAGGAAGATGCTGAGTTTCTGGTGGCCTTTGGCATTAATTTTGGCAACTCAGCGAATAAGTAGGCCCATAGTCAACCTTTTTGTCTCCCGCGACCTAGGTGGCAGTTCTGCAGCCACAGAGGTAAGAAAGTCAGTGCTCTGCATACTGCAAATGATCATTAACGTGGTGTTAGATCTGTGTTTCTCTTCTCAGCCATGCTGACAAGAGAAGATTGTCTCAAGTACATTTCTGTTTAGTATTCTTTTTATGCTTGAAAAGAAAACTGCTTGGACTCTTACCATGAGCCTTTCTGCCAGGTCTAGTGAGACCTCAGCCTCAACAAGACCTGTAGAATTTTGTCACTGAACAGTGCCTGTGTCCCAAGTTTTCATGCTCTACAGATAAGATACATATGCCCTGGAGCATTCGTATCCCAGAGGTTTTAGGACAGTCATCAGTAGTCCCATGTTCTGCTCTTTCCTGTCATGTATATTTTATGGCTATGCAAACTGATGTGAAACTAGTTAGAAGTCAGTGCATCACGCAGAGCAGTGTAGAGGCATAAGAAAACATTTTAAAAACATCTGTCTCCTGGTTCGGATGTGGAATTCACCCTGTTTGTTTTTTTTTCTTGAGGAATTTCAGGTTACTCCAATAAGTCTCATACACCTGTTGGGAGCCAGACTTCTGATTGTAACATAGAGCCTTCACCAATGCTCACCATGAGCTGACCTATTCTCTTAAGGAGTCTAGGGGACCTTTGCTGCCAGTTGCGGTGGGAGGATGTCTAGATGCACAAATCTCTCATGTTGTTTTTTCTACAGGAAAAGCAAAGCTCTAAGATACTAAATGGAAAGGAAAATTCAGAGAGCTGTTGCTAATTTGTCATATGTGATACTGTGTATTTCACTCTAAGGAGTTGCCAGACTGCAAATGAACAGCTGTGGAGAGAAAGCTTAGGAAACTTCACGCTTTTACATATGTAAATCAGGGACCATTCTATGCATTAATATCAGCCTTGGTACAAGGGGAGCCAGAGTGGGTTAGCATTTCTTGGTGACTTTTGATTTCAGGTGCATCACATTTCATGGCTAGCCAGTTGCATTTTGTTGCTATTAGGATGACTCCAAATATGTGTCATAGCTGGTGGTTTGCTGGCAGTTTTACACTAACAGTAATGGTCACATTTCAACTTTCTCTGAATAATTGCCTCTGAAAAGGGAGGTTCTGGAAATACAGATAACATCAGTGTCTGGAGCATCAGTATCCACAGTTTTATAGGTCCCCTGTTCAATAATATCAGCAACTTTCAGTGTGGGCAGGATGTCCCCATGAAGGACCAGGCTGTAACACATTCATGAGGACCGCAATCCTCTTGCATTGTCCAACTCCCACTGCTTTTGTTTGGACTGCCAGCACAGTTATGGTTATTGGGCTACTTCTTTGGTGTTGGATTTGATGGGGGACTCTTCCACCTGTCAAATACGGGTTCTAGGCATTTAGAAAAGCTTACATGCATATATTTTGGGATCACACCAACTGAGGAAAAATACTGGGAAAAAAATCGCTGCTAAAAACTTCAATATTTTAATCCAAGTGGAATCTAACATACAAAATGTGGTAGTGAAATACTGTTTTCTTTACAGGTACTGTGTCTTTGCAGTCTTTTAGGACTTCATGATGAAAATAAGCAAAATATCTTTTATATTCCTTGTTTGATTTAACCTAGTTAGGTTTCATTTCAGATGGAAATTCTGCTAAAAATACAATAATGGGAAGGTGTGCAATTAAAAAGGGTACTGTCTTAAAATTCCAGTTTGTTTTATTTGAACCAATTACTTTTTCAAGGTACATTAAACATTATTAAAGCTATTATTAGCAGGGAAAGATCTATCACACTTTCTTCCTCTTTGTGGATATCACTATGTTTCCCCTTCTTTTTAAACAGCACAGGGAACAAATTAGCTCTCTACATGGTCATTTGTTGACATAGGTCTTTTAACCAAGCAAAGACAGAAGTTACATTTATAATGGGAAATTGGGCTCAGATAACCAAGAAAATGTACATCAAAAGTTTAGTACTGAAACAGAGACAGCAGTAGTTAAAAAAGGTCTTTCCTGAAGCTACCATTACCAGATGTAAAATGAATAAGAATTTAGGTGGATGGTAGCAGACCTGAACCTGCAGTCAAAAGGCAGCCAAGCACTTTGATTTCTAAGAATTAAGAGATTCATGCAGTTCTCAGTACAGATGCATCCTTTAGCACTGAGGACTAGAAAACTTGAAGTGACAGTAGATTTACAGGCAGCCTCACGAAGAGCTCTGAAGCACCCTTTCTATATGAAAGACATGAAGTACATATATTTAGACTTTTTCTTCAGCAATCAGAAACATCACCAAAATCTTTCATACATTACTATGTAGGGGAGCTTGTCTTTTATGTACCTCTTGGACTGTACTTGTGAAAGTGTAAAAGGGTGTAGTTTTTAATTTCAGGCAGACAGTTGTTTCTCAAGAGAAAAATACTCATCTGGAATTATTTTTATTTGTGATTCACTGGGAGAGGTGGAATTTTTTGTCTCGTAAGTTCCTCCTGCCCCAATGTAGTCAGATTGATGTCAGTCAGCCACTGAGGCCCACTGATTTGTCATCTCTCTGTTTTGCTTAAAGCTGTTTTATACATAAGAATACCAAATAAAATGTATATAAATTAAAATTATGCAATATGATCCAAAGCATAAATTAAAATTATGCAATATGATCCAAAGCATAAATTAAAATGATGCAATATGATCCAAAGCTACCATGAGCTGTAAGGCATTCTGCTACTCAGCTATCTGTAAGTAAAATCACTCAGGAGCAATGTGTGAGGGAGCTGTTTGTCTGGCTGAGGGGTGCACCACAGCTCAAGTTAACTATTATCCCAAAGCACCAGAGTGATGGTGAAATAACAAAACTGAGATAGATAGCTTCGTGGCACAAAAGATTTCATAAGCTTAAAATGCCAGGCCAAATGGTGGCCATTCTGATGGCCTTCCTGAAACAAAGAGCTTTCAGTCGCTTGTCTGGTTTCTCATTGTGTCAAGGTCAATGTGGTGATATTGGTGGACAATGTCATTGTATGTTAGTTTAACTGTTGTGTTTGAAGATTTGAAGTTCATGTCTCTCTGTCTCCATTTGTAGGCAGTGGCAATTCTGACAGCTACATATCCTGTGGGACACATGCCCTATGGCTGGCTGACAGAGATCAGAGCAGTGTACCCTGCTTTTGACAAGGTGAGTGTCCCTGTTGGGGTGTGATAAATACCTTTTGTGTGGTTTTGCATGTGTGGTCCTCCTTGTTCTCTCTGTTTGTTGTTCCACTGATGGGTTTTTTTAAAATCCTAGTTAAAATTAATTGGGTTTGGGTGGCTTCAAGCTGTTGTCTGATTTATGATTTTAATCTTAGTTCTGTGTTACAAAGTATTAAGCTGCCCTTTGAACAGATAGGTGCTGTATTTTTAAGGAGTAAAAAAAGTCCTCACTATGATGTAGCTACTTAGGTAGTGAAGTTATTTCTCCCAAAGTGACACCACTGAGTGAGCAAGCTCACGTCGCTGCTCCAGGTTTTGTGGTATCTCTCAAGTGGGTTTGGGTTCATTTGCTTATGTTAATATTTAGCAAAGGGTGTTTCATAGACTGACAGTAACAGAGATAACATACATTCTTTTAGTTGCACTGGTTTAGCTGACCAAGGCTATGAAGATTTTTGTTGGTATATCATGTAATTATGTAAGAGTGCAAGGACTGCTCCTGGAACTGAGCGCAGAGTAAATATATAACAAAAATTGATTTTATTTAGTCTCTTTTTCCTCTGATTAAGGACTGGTACTCACCAGTCCATATGTTGCGTGAAGAATAGTCCTGTCCTGTGACTCTAGAATTCAAATGCCAGATCCTCTTCTTTCCTTTATTTACCAATTAGTAACTGAACTTTCTGTTTCCAAATACTCATGAAAAATATGTTTGCTTGCTCTGATGTGTTTAACTGGAGCAAGCCCTGTTTGATATCATCCACTGTATTTCCAAGGAGAATTTAAAACCAAAACAAAGTCAAATCAGTCATAACCTCCTAACCTGCCTGTGTACAGCTAAATTGACCTATCAGATAAAATACCTCATGCAGGCTTTCTCAGAGGTCATGCTGCTGAAAAGGAACTACAGATGCAAACCCAATAAACTTCAAGATAAAAATAGTTTGGGACAGGAAACTCAGGGGCTGCTAACCTCATTTGATCTGAGCCACAATCAAATGCACTATTATCAAGCTATAGTAACAGCAATTAAGACTCCTAAATTCAGTTCTCATTTAGCTGGTGGAAGATGTGCTGACAACTGTAGTGGTGACAGGATTAGACCATGATTTGTCGATTCATTTATTTCAGTTCAAAGGTTGCTCATAGGGCTCCTGTGGAACAATGTGAGGAAGAAAATGCTAGGGTAGGGTACAGATGGCTATAGTCCATCTAATTGCTGAAAAACTACATAATGGGAATTTTAGTTCCATGCTTTAAGAGCAATTTGGAATAAAATGTGCAAAGTGAGGCAGCAGCAGTATATATCCTTGCAACCATGTGTGTAAATACCTCCACCGTACATTTCAGATAATAAATACGAAACCTGAAACCCACAGTGGTTTGGGTTTTTTTTTTAGATTGCTGTTAGAATTGCTTTTCCCTCAGTCACACATATTCTGTGTGTCACCGTGCTTTTCAAAAGCTTTTTTTCCTTAAGCTAAGACTTTCTCAGAAGAGTCTGGATAGAAACACTTTTTATTTCTGGACCCTGTAAAGCCTTCATTGTGATTTTCAGATGCCAAAACAGTGTATATGCATTCAAACTCCCATTTTCTTTTGTCAGTTACTCAGAAAGCTGGCAATGCTGATGGCCATCAGAAGCACACTGACTGATGGGATTTGGATTTTGGATCCTAATAGTATGCCCCTCTTCAGTGGCTCTACTTGAGATGCCAGATGATTGTCTTCACAGGGAAATCATTACCTCTCTTCACATTTGTAAGAGAGATGCAGAGTCCTAGTTCAGTCTGTTGTGAGACTGTGTCCAGAGCAACCTCATGGCCTAGTAGTTAGATTCAGACTAAGGGTTACTACTGATATTTTTAAAGAAAACAGGCATATGCTAGTTCTATACTCTGTATGCAGGTTTATGTGGTGATAATGCCATTACCCTTAATGGACTATGCAACCTGATTCAGAGCAACTGTGAGAAGACTTGCGAATGCTATTTGTCTGATTACTAGATGGGAATGGATATTCTTTTTGCTCTGGGATCTGCATAGTGTTTTGTTCTGAGAACTAAGTAGGATGCAAGAGTTAGGAAGAAAGAGTATGTGGTCAAGAGTTAGAGCAAAGGGTGGAGTAGGACAAAGGCAGAGATAGCAGTGATGAGGTAGGAATGAATGACAACTTTTGGATGGTTTGATTTGAGTGTGTTTTCCTTCCTCTTTGTCATTTTAGCCTTGTTAGAAAGTTAAGCCATTCAGCAGAAAGTTCCTTTAAACACTAGTGAGTGATGTAAGCAAGGCCTATCTTCACATATATACAAATTAACCGTAGCAAAGTATTTCTTCAGAAACACAATTAATAGGAATAGATGCGTGAAAAAGTGTTTACAGAGAGTTTTCCTAACCTATTCTCAAAAAAGGTCACCTGTGGGAGTGGCATCCTGCTTTAGGGTCTGGGCTGCCTATGTGCATTTTCATGCACGCAGACTTCCAAGCAGGTATTTAAGCAGGAGTGTGGGGCTGTCTAGGTGCAGTTGCTGTACTGATCAGAACAAAAGCCTTAAATTGCAAAATTCCATCAGCGACCTGAATGTGTGTGAAATCACAGAGCTTACATTTGGTTTGTCACCTCCCAAGATGTGTTTGCAACAGTTCTATTTCTCTTACAAGTAACTTCAGTAAAGGAGGCTGACCATATGACAGATACTGCTGTTCTACCTGAGTTATATCAAGGATGTATAAATGTAGTACTATGTCTCATGGTACAGGTTTTATCAGTGGGTGCACAAACTTGTGTATCTCAAACAGCCCCAGGGTAAATGCCATAGATGACCCAACAGCCTCTTGCTACAGGGCTCCTAATAGTGCCCTACTTTGATATCCCATCCTCTTCTTTCACAAACCATTTAGATTGTTTTTATGTGTTCCCCAAGGGCAATTTTAAATCTTCAGCTTCATTTGCTATATTAGATATTTGGAAGAAGGCTGTTGTTGTTTTAAATAAAACTTCGCTGCCATGTGATTACAGAGCCCATGTTCAAGGTGGAACATCTAATAGTCCTAATTATGTTCTGTTCATTAAACTGCATTAACAGAGCTGACTGTTCCAGGAGCTTTGTTTATATTACCTACTTGTCTAATTGGATCAGTAAGGATGCTTGCATTGGTGATTTGGTACCAATTTGTGGTGAAAGGGAATGAAATCTTGTTTTTCCTGAGAAAGCATGCTACAAACTTCACACTCAGGTTAAAAAAAAGCATGTGGAGTTTCCTTAGAAATAGCTATCATCCCTTTTCAAAGCTGAATTTATTAAATAGGACTTATTCTTTAGAAAAGTACGGAGATTACAGCCCTTCAGTGACCATAACAGCAGTTGGTGTCAGTTTAACTGGAAAATGTTCTGTAGTGGTACAAAGTACTCAGAAAGCTCTCGGTTATAAAGTAAACAAGCAAAGTCAGACATGGACAGGCACAGACAGTCAGGTCCAGCACATGACCCTGGTGCTGTCAGCCTCCCGGTAGTCTGGAGCCAAGCTAATGCTCACTATCTCTCTTACCCTAGAATAACCCCAGCAATAAATTGGTGAACACGAACAGCATCGTCACAGCAACACATATCAAGAAGTTCACTTTTGTTTGCATGGCTTTGTCCTTAACGGTAAGAAACCTTTGTTCAACTCTCTGATTTTCATCTCAACCAGAAAACTGTCTCCTCTACCTAATGCTAAAAGCACTAGCAGTTCAAGAAAGGTGAGTTGTCTTTTCTTGTGAGGATCTGTTGCTTTTATCTGGAGAAGTGAGTGTGGTCATAGTACTGGAGTACTGAGAAAATCAGCTGTCATTAATTCACGCCAGATATCTAAAAGGCTGGACTTACTTTATTTTCACTACTTTTCATTTCAAATCAACCTCTACCTGCAAGAAGATATCAGAGATCTGCTTTTCTTTTCATCTCTTTTGGTTTTATTTCTTTAAATGAACGAAAGTTCTGGTAACTAGCATGTCAGGAAAACAAAAGAATGCATTTGTGTCACATGCAGTGGGATGGCAGCCTATCCCTGGGTGTCCTTCATTTACTATGAATGGTAGGAAGGGCAGCACAGTTGAACCTGCAGAAGCTTTTCTGTGCTGCCTCTCATGGCACTGTTTTTCCATGTGGGGGTACTTCCATGTGTGTTGATTCTGTATGCTCTCAAAATTAAGTAAAAAGGGCAGTCTCAGAGATGGTGCTGACACTGATGGAAGGATCTAAAGCCTTGTCCACACTGGGAAGCAGTGCATGGGGATGACATTCAGGGAGAAATTTTGCTGAACCTACAGTGTTTCAAAACTATCAGCTTGCACACATACATATAGTGCATCTTCTCCAAGAACATTGTTTCTGGACAAGTATTCTTAGCAACAAACAGGCAGTTTTAGAAGAAAACTCTTAGAACTGGTGGGGATCATAGCAAATAATGGAGCAGATGACCAGGGTAAATCCAATGTCTGTTTCTCTAGATAGGATGGATTTATATTAGTGCTTGGGGCCATGACATCATCTCTCCTCAGTACCTGCAGTAGCAGAACAAAAACAAAGGAGAACCTAGAAAACAGATTTTTCACAGAAAAAGTACTTTGTAACACTAGAAAAGTAATTGGGAAATGCAGCAATTGTTTTAGAATCCAATGCTCAGAGTCTTACAATTGAATTTGTTCATATCCCAAACAGGTTTTCTCTTTATCCTCAGAGTTCCATACTTCCCATGGGGTAGCTGGCTGCTTTGTAACTCCCTTCTCCCTACATTCATATATTTACTGTTGAGTAACGGAGTGGTGACAGAATTTCTCTCTCCTTTTCATTTTAGCGTAGAACCTTTTTGACTGAGTTGCACGCGGCTTATGTGTGAAGAGCAACTAATTTATGTCTAAGGCAACATTACAGTACACAAGCCTGAAGTATTTGCAACCCACTCCCTTGCCCCAACCTGGGAATGTGGAATATAGTACTCTGTGTCTTATTTCACAGTTGAAAATGAAGTGACTCAATTCATCTGTAGCTGAATTATATTTCTTCTGCTCTTTGTATCTTGTACTTTTTCCCTAAACAACTACAACTGGCCACCATCAAAGACAGAACTGCATGAGCCAATGTGACATCTCTTCTGTCTTTTAATTTCCTTAAGCTTGAACTCGTCATGTGGCTTAGAGACCAACAGCTCTTGCTCTAACTTGTATTTCCTATGCCATGAAACAAAGACAGATGTTTGTTGCCACTGAATTGGCCATTCTCTGAAGACAAGTTTTTCTCTTGTGTCCTGTGCCAGGCCAAGTTTATGTTCTCTACAGTTGGAGCCTCCCTTGAAGTCTGTCAGTGCTGTTACAGACCCACAAAGGGCAGAGCTTTCCTTGTTATAAATTGTTCTGAGAATACTGTTTAAATCTCTGAGATTTCTCTGAACTGACAATATTCTTAATCCCTCATGGTATTTATCAGTTTGCTTGAGTTCTGATAGATCCTGAGCTTTTCACATTACCATCACCATCCTCTGCAGAGTAATTTTTAATTACTGCAGTAAGCTTCTGGTTTGTGTCTTTATGGGATTTTTTTTCCCGAAAGTTCTCCACAATACTTTCAAGGGCAGTTCTTTCATAAGCTCATCATGAGAGATTTATTCACACTGAAATTCCAGAAACACTTCTGAGGTCCATAGCTTTTCCCGTCCTGTTTCTATTTTTGCCTGCTAGTGACAGATTCTTAGGATTGCTTGTCAACAGACAGAAGGGAAAAATAGACACATGATCTCTAAAGATTCAGTTTGATTCAAAGGCCTGAGCCTGCAAATGCTTCAGCACACAAACTCAGTAGGTGTTGGTATGACTGAAGTTAGTATATGCCACAGGTTCTAAGGAACTAGACTTCAGATTTGCCTCTGTTGCTTCCAGGTCAGCTCCCGTGGCCATCGGTGATAGCTGTGTTTTTATTCAGGGGCTCTACTTCAACCAATGCAGTCAGACTAGTGGCTTGACATCTTGTTCTTTCAGATCAGAGAGAAAGTGGGGAACAAGCTCCCAGACTGATAAGACAAACCAAATCAAGTACTTAGACATGTCATGTGAATGCATTTTCCAGTGGATGATCTATAGAAGGATTCCAGAAGATGTAAAGGAAGTCCATTAACCACTGGAAAAAAATGACAGTGAAGCTTTATGTACAAGCAGGAAACATGCAGGGAAGTATCTTCCCAGTGTAAAACCCTCAGAAACCTTCTGATCATGAAAGACATACTTTTTTCATAGAATTGGCAGAAAAATGTTCTACTTCCTTCCACACACCAGTCATGCCTGCAAACCTACTGCTGCAACAGAAAGCACTTTTTCACCGTTGTTGATGGTGACACTGTTGGGTCAGAGTAGAAAAAAATACGTATTTTTGTTAAGAAACATAACTTTGTGGTTTTTTTCAATCTCCATGGGATCTGAAAGGCTACACTTGTGCCTTCCCACGGTAACTGGGCAGCATGCACATGTGTTCTGTGAAGTATGATCATAAGTATTGTCTCATGGATTTTAAGCATCAGGGGGGTATTAAAGCTGCTTCTTCAAAAAATGGGAATTAGTTGTATTGCTGAGTGAAAATTATGTAGACAAGCTGTTTTTTTTAAGGGCTATAAGTAGAAGCCGTTAGACCCTCGACATGTAAGAGAGCTGATCTGATTAGTCATATTGATGTGGTTTTGGTTGTAGGTAAGCAGTGATTCCTTCCAACAGCCCTGTTTTGAGACTGTGTAACTGAATGTAAAATTTGTGTAGCAGAGGGAAGGGAGTCAGCTGTAGAATTTTGCCCTATGTAGTTAATGGACTGTTCTGATTTTAGAAAATAAGGCATGCTTGGTAATTTACTTGCAGCTTAAAGAGTGTGCATAGTGCTGTTTGCCGTTATTTGTTACTTCACTGATATTGACACTATGGGAAAAATGCTTCTTTCCATGTGTAAGTAGAGATACTGCTCCAAATGCCAGTGTTGCTGCCATTGTGGATCAGGCTTGTTGAAGAATGTTTAGTTGAAGAACTAAAGATTTTGTTTCAATGCTAGACCTGTTTAGATGACCCTACGGATCAGCCCTGATAATGTTGCACAGTTGTAAACTATGTGAAGACACAGACTCGTGAGAGAAAAGTGGTGCATTTATAGCACACATCCCTTTGGTTGTGGGATGTGTCAGCCTCAGTCCAGTGCAGAAATCCCAAAATAATTTGTCTGGGTGCTAAACTACTGCATTTCTCCATTGCAGCAAAGGTTTGCTCTGTCAGAGGGAGCACTCCCTTACTCATGAACTGTGTGTAGAGGGTCAGGCTGTGCTAGGAGCAAGCTACTTAAAGGAACCCTGCCATACTCAGCAGGAGTAATAGCAAATAGGCTGTGCCTTAGCAAGGGTTTTTCTTAGAATAGTGGTCTCTGAGCTCGGACACCATGGTGCAGAATTCAGGGGTTTTCCAAGGCAGCCTGTGGTGCAGCACATATACTGCGAAATTACCTTTCTCTCTCCATTTTCCAGCTGAGCTCTTATTTAAGTCTTATGTGATGACATGGAAGTTGCAGTCAGTTCAGATCCTCTTCCTCCACTAATGTTAGCTGCTGGCAGCCACAGGATTAGCATTTGGTCACCTGCCTCTAAACTGCAAGGCTTTTCAGGCTGATTTCATGTCACTTGTTAGTGCCTGCTATATGAAAGTAATAGAGGTCTCCTTTTTGAAGGCTCAAGCTTCTTCTCTGCACCCACTGCACCCACTCTGTGGTCACAGCCATCCCCTCATGCACACGTCTGTGTGCAAACCCTGTGCAGGTTGGTGAAGTTGTGTGGCCTGAGTTGAAAGCCAGCCATCAATTGTGCAGGCAGCACTAGGGAAAGTGGGGAAAGTGGGACATTTAACTCTCTGAGGGGACTGGCAGTATATACATCTCTTTATGTCTCAGAGTCATGTTAGAAGGCAAGACATGTCTTCCTTAACATGAGGTGCAAACACTGGGGTAAACACATGGCTGGCTCAGTGCAGCTGACACAAGATCACTGCATGAGGAACATGCAGGATGCTGATCAGAGAACACAGATTTCTGAGAGAGCACTGTGAAAGCTCCCTAGCTGACCTTCGCTAAAAATGAACCAGAATAATCTGTACTTACTTGTTTGTTTATACCAGGAAAGGAGCAATCAGTTCTTACAGCAGTAGTTAGAGAGCTATGCAAATTGGTTCAGCTTTCTCTTCAAGCAGCCTCAGCTGGGACAGACCACAATGGTTTTGGAATGCGTTTCCAAACACCAGGTTCTGTTAGCTGCATTTTTCCTCTTAGCTAAAATGTCATCAAGACACATGGCCAGTTATATCTTCATATTCTTAAGTGTTCTGTGTATTACAACAGGTTTTCCCTTATCAATAAGACAGGCTCAAGGTGCCAGGGTGACATGCTGAGCACACCACACCATGTTCATCTGTCTGTCACCAAGTTAGTGTACAGCAGGAGATCTCCACAGTACTTCTCGCTTTTAACATGTGTTCTATTAGAAACAGCTCAAAGCTCTTTCCAGCTTTAAGTACATCAGCACAAGTGCTATTTAAAAGGAATTTCAATGCTGCTTTGGTTTTTTTTTTAAATGACTACATGGTTAGGGACAAATG